TTTTAAGTAACTAGCAGCTCTTAAAATACTGATTTTTATATAACACGTTTAAGTTAATTTTATTCATTAACATATTATTATTGTCATTATAAATATTATGCAGGATTGGTTAATTCGATTTACACACTTACTAATTTCATACTACACATATTTTTTATGGTTAACTAGATAATAACTAAATGTTGAAATATTAACGATAAATAATTTATTATTACTTAACTACATAAAATTAAATATATTTTTTATAGAATCGATTAGATATCAATTGTTATAAGTTAAAATCTAAATTTACTGTTGTTTAAAACTATTTTACTTTTTTAATTAAGTAATATTATTATTGGATATCAATAAGAATATTACTATATTATATTATTATTATCGCAATGTGGATCCACTTATAAATTTACGATACATTCTTGAAATATGTCTCCATTAACTCCATGTGCATTGTACCCCTCTTTTAAGAACCCACCACACGGCATATTAAAAAGTATGAGACATGAAGACGGAATTCGAATTATTAGTGTTCTTAAAATACACTACGATAGTGATATTAGGTCTATTTATTTTATAACATGAGATAATAATGACAATATTATTACTCGTTTATTCTTATTTGTCGTGAACTGAACACTAATACAACGGCATTATACAATACTTTTGTAAATTATGATTATAAACACAACATTACAAATATTGTTCAAATTTTTCTGTGAACCATCAAATTTTTACCGTGGACCACCGGTTGGTGACCGCTGATTTAAATTATAAAATAATGTGCAAATTTTCATACTTTTGATGAATTTTGCTTATGACAAAAATGATTTTATTTTTTCAATAATTATTTCTATTAATAAACTCATAAGGTCTTTTTTTTTAAATTTTCTAGTATTTTGACTGGGAATACATTTCTCTAACGTAAAATTTATAAAAGAAACATATTTCATATGTCAATAAATAGCTTACAAATACTGATTAATTATTTTTAACATTTCATTCTAATAAGAAAATAATAATTTAAGTAATTGTAAAATATTTTAAGTTTCTACGATTAATATTTGCAAAGTATTTAAAATCGTTTTTTTTTGCAGGTAAGTAAAGATTCATTTTCATCTAAATTAAAAATTCAATAATTCGTATTAAATGTTTGTGGCTCTATAAGGTTATTTTTTTTTTTTAATTCTTGTAAAATAAACTCATGAGTTTTACTTTTGTTTACTAAAAATAAGTATTAACTAAATCCAATTTGCTATTAAAAATCACATTTTAAAATTAAATGAAGTTTGAGATATTTTTAGTGTTTGAAAAGGTAGTGACACAAAAAAAAAAAAAAAATACATACAATTTGAAATAAATATATTCTTCCATTATAATATTAGGTACCTATTACCTAAGGCAACTCTTACAACGAGCTAACTACCAGCAATTGACGATAAGTAATAATATTTATCATTTGATTATTCTTGTAGAGCCTAGTGATAGAGTACGAAAGTTATTGTTATTTTTGGGCTATTAGATATATTGCTAAGTAAGCTTAGTATAAAACTTATGATAATGTTAGTTAATTTTTCTACCTTTAAAACATTTTTAAATTTATTTTTTAAACACTTAATACCTCTACAGCATAGTGACTTAGGTGTGATTTTGGTAGAACACTCTTGATTCTTACTCATGTTATGTGCTCTAATATTCTACAACAATATAGCAAAATACTGCGACGTAGACAACACATACGTACCAGCACCTATACTTCAAGGGAGAGTAAAGGGGCGTAACTTTTTATTTGAAAAAACAGCACGATTGCGCACTTTTTATGTTTTAATATTTGACAAAACACCATACGATTGCGTACAAAATTAATTTAATTTTATATTGTTGGCTTAAATGATTTTAAGAAACCCGCCTATAGTACAGTATACGTATTATACGTCATGTACACAATTGCTATGGCCAGTGGATACTATAATATGGTGACTTCGTGTCTGTAAATAATATTTTATTACTATAATAACTGATAAGTTAGTGACTGTGATTTTAGCCATATTTCATTTTCAACGTATTCATATCCGAAAATATTTATTGTATCGAATTTTATTAATAGTTAACTAATACTGTATATTATAACGAGATGTATAGTGTGGCAGTCGTTAGTCACATACTCGCGTCATATCTAAATGTGATATTATACTGTGGCAGTCTCACATCATACAACGTGTATATTTCCATTTTATTTTTGTGCAATTTTGTTTTGGGAAAATGGAGAAACAAATACAAAAAAAATTTAAAACAGAAATTGGGAACATTCGGTATTGCTGTACAAATAAAAATTGTTCTACCTGTTTAATCGTCGATAAGGATATGACCAAAGTGTTAAGTAAATTAAATGAGTACATACATGACGTAATTCCAGAAAATATTGTTGGTAGGCAAATAGTAAGTTCTAGTTTAGAAAGAAAATGTGAAAATGATTTTCTCACTAGGTCAAATAAAATATTTAAGCAACAACTGAGAAATACCGAAAAAGATATACAGTTGGCTTATTCTGATAGAGTTATGGAGAAAGTGTATGTACGATAAACGTAGAAAGAATATACAAAAAAATCCAAAATCTTTAGAAGAAACGATAACTCAGTTATTTGATAGTCGTGAAAATATTACAACTAATACTAGTGAATTATTTTGTCACATGACAGACACTTCAAGCCCTGCAGTTATAATCGCTTGCAAAATTTATTTTGAATTATTGAGTCAATCTTCCAATATTTTTGCGGACAGAACATTCGCATATACCTATGCACCCAAATATTTTGAACAACTGTATTCAATACATGTATTACAAAATAGTTTTCATGTTCCTGTAATTTACTGTTTTTTTAATTTCAAAATAAAATGAAACTTATGTACAAATGTGGCATACAATTATTAATTTATGTTTACAATTTATTGTCACAGATATACAAAATTTATTAAAGCATTCAAATTTTTATTTTGATTTTTAAAAAAGTGCTCACAACACTGTAAGAAATTTTTTCCCAATTTGAAAAATTATGGCCTGCAGATTTGATTTAAACCAATCTTGGTGTAGGAAAATTCATAGTGACAATAATTTAATAAAAAAAAAACTATAATTCAAAACCTGAATTAGGTATTTGGTTGAAACAATTTTTAATTTTCATATTTTAGTTTGATATAGGATCGCATAGATTTAAAATATTAAAGCACTGTAATAATATTCATGAGGAAGTTATAGACAGGATAATAAAAAGTTACGGCTGGAAAATATGATAGTAACGATTAATTTTTTTAAAAACAGGAGTATTCATTTGTACATGGGCATTTAAATGAATTTGGTATTAATTAACATAATAATTATATTTTTATCAAAGTTATTTATTCGTATTATATAGTAGGTTATTATAAAATGTAAATACATTCACAATTTAAAATACGCGCGCTTTTTTTTTTTCATTATTTTAGAAGTCATTATAAAAATGTACCATCAGGAATGTTCCCTTCGGTGGCTACTTTTCATTCTCCCGACTATACTATCTACCATATTTCAACAAATAAAATGTTGTTTCGGCGTTGTTTCCTATATAAACGTATAGAAATTAGCGAGCTTCTTCTAAATAACATTATACTATCGGTTTGAATTATCTTTAAGACATCTAAAAATGAATAAATATTTAGATGGGAACGATTAAAAAAATCATTACGTTTTTGTGAAAAGATTCGTGCGCATTTGTCGTTTGCTGTAAATTTAATTTGAACTCTTTTCTGTCCATATTGATGGAGGGAAAAGTGATTCTTCTAAAATATAGTTGTTGACTAAATAGCCAGCAAAATCTACAACTTTAGAATCTACTGGTGTCTGGTTGTATTTCTGATAGTTCAAATGAAATCAGAATTAGGAATCGGTAACAAAATCTATGCGCTATCGTAATTTATTTTATCATAAAAACATAATATAAGATCCCAGGCTGCTTTATAATTAATACACTATGGAGAACTCCTGAAAACGAAATAAAAATTCTGTTTTCTAACTAATATAGTGGGACGCGATTCGTGTATACTTTTTTTATGGGACGTAACTAAGGTGTCCCGCCTGTGAGTTTTCTTCTTTAAAATGCCAATTATAAAAAAATGATTTATTAGTTAGTGCCTTCTTTACATAAAACTATGAATTTACTATGAACATTAGTTGTTATCAGTTTTATAAATTAACAAATCATTTTTATAGTTACTCTATGAAATAATTGAACTATTGATTAGATAGCTAATTTAGCAGTACGAATAGAACATAAGCATTTTCTTTCATCAACACAATCTACTGTCGATTATGAATAAATATACAGTTAAATTTAACTAAGTATAAATGTATATTTTGTATTGAAAACATAAAAATGTAAAACGTAATTCTAATAGAATTAATACTCTTATTGAAAATAAGTTTTGATGCAAATTAGAATTTTATAAACATTACACGTATTTATATATTATAGAGAAATAATGTATAAACGCTAAAAAAATCTGGGAAGGTACCACTTCACATCAGATTTGAATACTAGTTGATGAGTCTAAACGTTGTAGACTTCGATATACCTACTTAAATCGCAAAATACAAACTAAAAACATACAGTGGGATGGTATCGTCGCATAACGCATTCATGATCAGCCGTCCGTCTCCTTTTAATTTATTCGGCCATTTTTGGCATATTTTGCTACAATAAGTTTTTCATTACAGCCTAATACCATTTCACTGATTTTATATTAGAATAGCCATGACTGTTCTACGTGTACTAAAGGTTAGTCTAGTGGTACTATGGTTTTAATCAAAATACTTTTACTATTTTTTGTAAGTCCGTAAGTATTTTAATTATTTTTTTTTATTTAGATTAGTTGTTTGATTTAAGATTTAATTTTGAAATGGTCAAAATTTAGGTTTTCATATAAATAGCTTTTTCTTGACGGTCAATATAGTTGGCTAAACTGTGTTTGTGTGGTATACATTACGTTGTTGTGCATCCGTACTGATTCCACAGTGTACGAGTTTTTCGTTTGGGAAACAGTTCATTGTTCATTGTGTACTACGTAGTTCATCGTTTAAATCGTAAGTAATATGTTTATCCTTAATTATCTAACCAATTCAATTTGACAGACAGATATCCGTCTTAGAACTTTTTAGTTTGTATTGTGATTAAAATATATTAATTTCTCCAATGTTTAGACTCATCAACTGGTATTCAAATCTGGTGTGAAGTGGTATATTCCCAGATTTTTTTAACGTTTATAATCTAATATTGAGTTTCGTGCTTTAGTTTTAAATAATTGTAAGTTACTGAAAAATGTACACTTAACGTATTGTCTTATTTTGTTTTTAAACCTGAGCCGACTATTTGGATTGTGGATTTTACTCTTAATTTATCTACAATAGATTTGATTGTTTTATTACGTTTATGTTCCAGATAACACTATGGGTAGAGTTATTCGTTCTCAGAGGAAATGTGCGGGAAGCGTTTTCCGTTCCCACGCTAAATACCCCAAAGGAGTCGTTGCTATGAACTCAGTTAGGCGTCCTTATGGAGGCGGTAATCATAAACATATTGATAATCATCAACATACTGGTAATCATCAACATGTAGGTAATCATCAACATGTTGGTAATCATCAACATATCGGAAATCATCAACATATCGGTAATCATCAACATATTGGTAATCATCAACATATCGGAAATCATCAACATATCGGTAATCATCAACATGTTGGCAAAGCATCCAGAGTTAAGAGAGGAACCAGCGCCGGAAGAAAGGTAAATTACATATTTTTTTTTTTAATATACCTTAATTGTTACTAATAATATTCAAACTAAATTTTAGGTTGGTTTCATTGCTGCCAGAAGAACTGGTGGTGGAATTTGAGAAGGTTAAGTGGTTACCAAGAAAGGTGATGATTTATCTGTAGTTTATTATAAATAAAAAAAAAACAAAAGCAACTAACTGGTTTATTGATTTTTTCTTGTATTGCAAAATTATTTATCATTTTATTTTATAACCTTGTTTAGCCGATAACAAATACTTGAATTCCTTGAAGAAAACACAAATGAGTCTTTTATCATTTAAATTTTTAATTTAAAAAAATAGAGCCGTTACGACACGCCTGGTAGATGTGAAACTTTGGAATTGATTATTATTGAAAGTGTTTACAACTAATAAAATTAGACTATATCAGTACAATTAATATTAATAAGAAAGTTTGTACTTATGATTTGAATAGGTGGAGAACGTAATATTGATAGAAAACAACATATTATGTAAAGTCATAATATTATGATAACGGTACATAGTTTAGTTGGGTGAGTAAAGGTAATAGGTCAGTTGGGTAGAACTGGTTTAGTTTAATAAAGAATTTGAGATTACTCCAATTAAAGCATACAATGCAGATAAAAAGTATTAAATAATATATTGCGATGAACTTATATAAGTTACAAAATATATACACAGTAACGTGGAGGAAAAACGAAAAGCGACGCATCAAACGATTTCAGCGGAAAAAGAATGATGAATTGGTGAAAATGGTACTGTTGGTAGCCGATGATGTTTGAATGACAATCTTCATTTATATTGTGGGGTGCCCCAAGGCACAGTATTAGGTCCTTTATTATTTATTATTGTTATTAATGACCTCTTAAAAATTAATAAAAATCCAAGTATTGAGATTCTAAATTTTTCTAATGATATAGCTATTTAATTATCAGAACTAACTAGAAAACTTGTATTGTGAACCAAATAAAATTTATGTTTGGTTTTGTCAAAACAAATTAAAATTATATTTAAGCAAATCGAAATATATTAGGAAGTTTTACTTCAAAAATTACAAACTGCTTAAATAATTATAACTTAAAAGTACATTCATTAAAATTTAGTATTAATTAATGTATGTGATTCAAAATGCATAAAATTTGATAATGTAAAAGAACTAAAATATCTTGGTTTAATTATTGACAATAGATTAAAATTATAAAGTCATATAAATTATTTAAATAATATCCCACATATATTTTTTTATGCATTTCAAGAAGTGAAATTATAAAAGATTAATGTATTTATCACTCTTACAATCAAATTTCTTATGGTACCTATGTAAATTTGAGTGGGATCGTATAATGTTTTCTTACCTATCTAAAATTAATATTACTATTAATGCGTATTTAATATATCTATGCAAACTAGCACCATTATAATTTACAAGAGAATCTTAATTTTATTTATAATTAATCAACCCTGATAGAACTTTATAAGGATAAGCACTTAGTCTCTTTCTCTTATCATGAATATAATATTAAATACATACAAAATGTAAATATATATTATGTACCATATCAAAATTAAGTTTTTGATAAAAATAGTATACTAAATATGAGCTTAAGTTTATGTTGTAAGTTAAATATAAATATCAATAATTTTTATAATTTAAAATCTTTTAAATAAAAATTATATAAAAGGTTTGGATCTATCTATTACTTAAATTTTGATTTCTCTTTTCCCTAAATTGTATTTTTGTCTAATTCTAATACAAAAATTTTTTATTATAAACTAAATTTAAATAAACGGTAAATTATTATGCATATGTATACTTAAACAGATAAGAATCGCTATCCCAGCACAAACTCTGCTTTTAGGAGTAGTTGTGATATTGTAATCTATTTTTGAAATTGACAATTATGAATAATATTGTTGCAATAAAGCTATTATTATTATTACTGTTATTATATTGAATACTGGGATATCGCGTATTTATGATTGAACAATATTTTTTAAATATTATTACATAAGTGTACATTTTACTGTTATAATTATTACACGATGTTCTTTTTACGGCCTTTGCTTTTGGAGTAGATATCAGTCTCTCTTAGCAAATTAAAGAAAAATTCCGCGAAAACTCGAGAAGGTGTAATAATTGTTGATATTTTAAATCAGTTTTCCATTTCTTTCTTAGACTTTTCAACAATGCCAATGTGTAGATCACCAGCATGAGAATGCGCTATATCTAAGCTTGGATTCCTTAAATCTGTATACATAAATAAATAAATTAAAAAATTGTATTAAAAATATATTTATCTCTGTTGGTAATAACTAATGTACCGTAGAAAATTTCTTTGAAGACTTCCGGGAACATTTCCATCTCGTGATTTTTATTAGTTTATGCTGAATTGTACTCGTACATAAAAATCTACCATAAATAATTTTTTTATGATTTTTTTTTATTAATTTTACACTATCCATTATTATATTAGCACAGTATTACTGTTAACATTTCTCTGACATGCGATTGGCTATAGTGATCATTAGTGCTATATTGTAGCCATTGTAGGTGTTAAATGCTAATGTTACCTACTTATTGGTTTTATATTGAAATACATTCAATTGAGATACCATTGTGTATAAACTTGTCTCTAGAAAGTAAATTTAAGTATACTGAGCGATTAAAACGTATTTGAAAAATAACTATTTAATGATAAAATATATTTTTTCAAATAAGTTTTTACGAACTAATTTTAATTAGTTATTTTAGTATTTTATGATGCTAAACAAATAATCAATATACATAATAATTTTTTCTCGGACTATATTTTTTAATAATATAAAATATTAACCAAGTATTTTAAATAGGTATGTAGGTAACCCTTGTATCATAATATTAAAGAGAAAATAATCACTAATTACAGATTTTTATAAAAATAAATTTAGGTAGGTATCTATTAAAAAAAGAATTATTTTAATTTTAGATGCATGAAATATTTTACTATGTTATAAAATATTCCATTCAACACCATAGCAAGTGACTTTGTCGACGACAAAACGCTCCTTGCTGTATATCAAAATCAAAATATAGCTGCGTAATATATGCAAACTCATTTGGACCTTTTATCATTATGTACAATGAATGGGGCATAAAAATTAATGAAAGTAAGTTAGTTTACTACAGCTTACTCTCAGACTCGTTTAATGTCCACCCTCATATTTTAAAAACCAACTCTTCCGCTAAAACAAAATACTAAAAACTTAGAAGTTAAGAATAATATTTGATTGACTGAATTTGATTTTTATAAGACGCGATATTTTGTGACCCACGTGATATCTTCTGATTTAACACTATGTGATTTTATTCTTTAGGGTTATGTTAAATCTCAAGTTTATTAATGTTGTCCAAGGAATTTGGAAGTTTTGAAGGAAGTAATTACTATAAAAATTAGTCGTATACCTCAAAAAATGTTTGAGAAAGTTATTCAAAACTTTTTATTTTGCTTGAAGCAATGCAAAGGACATCACTTGATCGAAATTTTATTTAAAACTACATAAATTTAAATTTCCAATATTGTACAATAAATATAAATAAATAAAAAAAAAATTGATAAATAAAATTGTTTTTTTGTTTAATTGTCTTAAAAACTAAGGAGGATATTTTTCCACACGCTGTATTTTCAATAAATAATTCTCCATTCAAGTATATCATGCCACTACTCTATTTTTTAGCGATTTCGCTTATTGTATGAATATAAACATAGGTTGTGAAAAATAATATATATATATATATATATATAAAAAAAAAATTAAATTAAATATTCAAATATTAAGTATAGAGATTAAATTCATATCAGTTCTTCCAAGTACATAAGTTAAAGTGATATGGATATAAACATTAGAGAACTCTTCATATGTTTATAAATCCAGTCCATATTCCATAAAATAAGTATTTAATACTCATCAAGTAGTCTATGGACTTAAAAATGTTTCTGTTTTAATTTTAAAAACGTACATTTATTTTAAATCTCATTATTTTTACAAGTAGATAGGAAGGTAGCTAATAAGTAAAAAGTATATGTAAAAACGGAAAACAGTTTTTTTGTATTTTGAAAATTTAAACGTATCTACTTCAAGTATTTCCTGTATTTATCGGAACTTGTATAATGTTTAAAATATTCTCTATTGGATTTAAAAAAATACAGTTGGAATTTATACAATTATTATAGTTTTCACTTTATCAAATTGTAGCATTTACTGCAAATTGCAATAAGAGGGAGTAGATACATTTAAAATTTACATTTTAAATACATAACTTAATAACTTATCCTGCTCACTCCCATGAATATTAAATTAGGTACGTGTACGACAACGGAAATTCATTATTTTTCACGAATAATATGGTCACTTTTTTTTTCCAAAAACCTACGTTTATCTTATAAACGATAAAACTACAAAATAATAGACTATAGTTTCGTCAATAAATAGATATAGGTACCTATCTACGATGAGTATGTAATTATAACAATTACATTTAAAATGTAGTGTGTGTATCGATCTAAAACTTGTCGAAAACGTTCAAACTTGTTGTAATTTGTTGACCCCGTACGGCCGTGCAACAATTGGAGTGGTCTTGTACAAAAAAACAATTAAACTCACCTATAACCGACAAAGTAAGTTTCGACCAGAGTTTTTCATTATAATGCCCGCAAAGGGTACGGTATAGTACCTTTCAGCTCGTTCAGGGAATATTTTTTTTCATTATACAGGCATTAACAGCAGGGTAAATATTATTGCGAGTCAACGATGTGCGAAATCTTGGAATTGGTGTGCGGTTTCAGGTGGAATTCTGAAAAGAGATTATGTTCTATTTTCCGGGAATAGCAAATGCAGCCATCAAAATTAAGAGAAATCGTGGTTGAAGAATTAACGGACCTTAGGTTTTCTGCCTTTGAACTATTATATCCGATTGCGCTATATTGCGGCGTGATTCGTTTGCGCACATTCAAAGTTTTTTTACTTGAAAATCGATGAATAGTTTGCGCACAACGAAAACACATATGCATATTATTTAAAAAAATTTTATTTTGTAATAGAAATAATTATTTGTGTAGATTTTGACATTGGTTTGGGCTTACGCAGGTAGGTAGGTACTTATTTTGAGTACAATTTTTACGGTGTTCACACGTTGGTGT